GGGCTGGACTCCCTCTCCAAGCTGGAGAAATCCTCCTCTGGAGACCAGGGCAGGGCCTGGGTGAGTGGTGCCTTGAATAGTCAGACTGGTGACGGGAGTAGTGGGACGGTGCCATGTTGGGGAGTGTCCCAAAGGGCTCAGTGACGGTTACTGTCAGCGCGAAGATGACCGGTGCCGACTGTAGGGTGACCACTGCCTCCCTCTGGGCAAAGCCTGGTGTGAGGGCGGAGACCGGGAGCGGGGCGACGGCGACCAGTAGTGGCAAACCGGTGACCTGGGCTGATGCGGAGACCAAGGGCACGATGACAAAGGGCTCTGCCTTGGCTCTGGAGACTGGCGGCGCTCACTCGCCTTCTGGGAGGCCTTCACAGATGGCTTGTCCTCGTAGGGAGCCTTCACCAGGTTCATTGCCACACACAGTGCTGGCTGCGGTGGGAGAGTCCTTTGCTCTCTGGGCGCCGGGAGCTGAGAAGGCGTTCACTGTGCCATCAGTCTGGGTCCCCTATCGCTCCCCGGAGTTGTTGGTGGATCCCTTAGGAGGGTAAGTAGGTCCTCTTGGGGGCGTGTCCCCTTGCGTCTCTGGCGTGGGTGGGCGGACCAAGCGGGGTCATTTGCCCAATGCCCCTTGGTCCGACTTGCTCAGTGCCAGGTCCCTCTTCTTCATCTTCTTCTTGGGCACCAGCGAAGGGAATTGGTGCCGGGAAGAGCCCAGTGCCAAGGGTGCGCTACATTCTGAGGCTGAAGGGTTGGGCATTCCTGAGGCTAGGCAACGAGCGGCCTCCATGAGGAGGCCCTCAAGCGAATGTCACACTTTTTCTGTGTCCTGGGACAAAAGTTCTTACAGATGCGACACTTTTCTTTAATGTGGGAGTCCCCCAGGCACTTCAGACAGCTGCCATGCAGGTTACTAACAGGCATAGGCCTGTTGCAGTCAGAGCAGGGCTTAAAACCTGGAGACCGGGGCATACCCTGCCTGGGGCAAAGTACCCGCCGGGACCCTAACTGACTAGCTATAGTACTTAACAGCTACTTCCTAACCAGGGGTGGCTCTATGTTTTTTGCCGCCCCAAGCACGGCAGGCAGGTGGCTTTCAGTGGCGTGCCTGCGGGTGGTCCGCTGGTCACGTGGATTTGGCGGCATGCCCGCAGGAGGTCCGCCGGTGCCGCGCCATTTGTGTCCCCGCCGCCAAATTGCCGCTGAAGCCGCGGGACCAGCGGACCTCCTGCAGGCACGCCTCCAAAAGTCACCTTATTGCCGCCCTCACAGCAACCGGCAGGCCGCCCCCTGCGGCTTCCTGCCCCAGGCACGCGCTTGCTGCGCTGGTGCCTGGAGCCACCCCGTTACTAACTAATCTACTATAAAAAACAAACTATTTACAGCTGGAACATGAGGTTCGACGAGTAGGAAAAAAACCCACTGATCACTTGCAAAGCAAGGGAAAGAGGCGCTCCGACCAACCACCACGGGCGGTAAGAAGGAACAGAGGGGGCGTAGGGCAGGAGACACCTGATATACCGACGCATGAGCGTGGCACCCAAGGGGGCGCCACAACCAGCCCTATGGATACCGCTAAGGCAAAAGTCTCCGACAATTGTGCACGTGGGCGCGCGCACATCTAGAATGGAATCGACATGAGCAAGCACTCGAAGAAGAACATATGATATGCAAACAAGGATGTGGTAGGAAGGGGAGCAATAAAAAGTTGTCTTGTCAGTTCCATGATTTTGTACGGATTACTTTTTATGTGAATATCTTTCAGTACATCAGGTGGAGGGGTGGCCTATGGTTTACAGGCCTCTTTAAAGAAGCATATTTTCAGGAGGACCTTGAAGAAGAAAGAAGGGGGTAGACAAATTTTGGACTAGGTCAAGGGAAGTTCCAGGCAAAGGTTTGTATGAAAATTATTTAATTCCTGGGTTTTATAAAAATTTAAAAACACAATAAACAAAAGATGACAGGTTCTGTCAACATGTATGCACAAACACCCTTTATGCACACATCTCTTTTTCAGTGCAGTATGGACTCAGAGACAGTGAACACAGGGAGGTACAGAATTGACTTTGCATGACAGTTATTGAATGCACGCTATGTAAGAGAAATATTCAGAATGCCAATGTGTAACACGGTGCTGTTACCTCCCTGCCTCATCAAAAGTGAGGAGTTTCTTGGTGAGGAAGATGGGGTCACACAGTAAAATATGGAGTTAGCAGGATTTTATTATTAATAAAAATACATATGTATCGATTGCCAGGTATACTTATAGCACTTCTCAAATGCGTTAAATCCCTAACATAAAAAGATTTCAGTTTAAGGGTCCAATCCTCTGAATTGTTGAGAATGCTTAATTCCATCTGAATTCAGTGGATGTTGAGGGTGTTCAGTACATTTCAGGACTGGTATATAAATCCCCAATTGTGGACTCTGATTCTATGGGAGTGTTAGCTGCACAAGAAATACACGACTGGGCCATAAATCCATATGAACAAAAAAAGACTAGAATTATCAATTCCTATGCACTCTCAATGCCCATGCTGAGGCCCATTAAAATCAATGAGACTCCATGCAGTCATAAGCTTTCACCCATGTGGATCTTTTTGCCTTAATGAGGGAGTTTGGTTGAATAAGTAAATTGAATATATATTACAATGTTCTCTCTTCAGTAAGTTATGTAAGTTGATATTATTTTAAGGAGCCAAAACAAGATTACCTTTTGAAGAATCATAAGTGTCAGAGGGATGAAAAATAAATATAATAGAAATAAACTATAGTTGGATAAAATTTACAGATGTGGAAAGAAATGGACCCCTTCTTTGACCACTACTAATTCTGAAGTAAGTTATCTATGAAACACAAAAATTAATATTCCCCACATTGCAAACACCTGCTTCATTACAATCACTAAGAAAAAAAAAGGTTTTTTGTTGTTGTTGTACACACTAAAAGAAGGCAAGGTTAAATAAACCTTTTGAATATAACTACTTCAGTTCTATAGTAAGCAGCACTAGTTAAAAGACTGGGGAATGGGTAAATTATAGTACCAAATGGCTGAGAATTAATCTCTGATGACTAGCTGCAATCTAACGAGGCATCTGTGTCCCAGGGAACCCACAGTATGTCCCTGGCGGTATGTGTAGTGTGTAGAGTCTGCATGGCATTCTTTGTCCTCTTTTGCAGGCAGCTTTTCGTCTCATTGTTTAGAATATCCTCATGCATCTGTGACGCGTGGAATGCATTCATACTAACAGACTTACTATTGTTTTCTCTCAGAAGCTTTGTTGAGCAAAGACTGCATCACAGTTCCTGATAATTATATTGCTTAATTAATCAAGACAAAAAAAATTTGCAAATCATTGCCTGGTTGCCAAGCAGGGAGATAAAAATGAAAACAATACAAGCTGAAGCAATATAACAAAAGTAACAGCTATCTGATCAGAAATTCTTATATAATGAAGCTATTAATGCTAAATCGGTTAATGTTAACATTGCTCCAGGTGTCTCTACTTAGATGCAAACAAAAAGGCTAACATTATGTATATAAAAGGCCAAATGTTGCCATGGATTCTGTAACCTGATAGAGAGGACAGCCTTTTCATTTGATTAGGGAATGCAATTTAAATACCAGGGACTGAAGCCAAACAACAGACATTTCTCTCTGCAAGCCTCTTTCATTCACCCTGGGGTCAGTAGCTGGTGAACAAAAGGTCAGCCACACTTGCCCTGGAAATGTCTGGATTAATTTTATTACATTGTAATGGTTTGTACTTTAAATGTAGGGATAACACTAAATTTCCAGTTGGCTATTATTCTTTATGCCTTTGGGTGTTTTTTTGACTAATATGTAAAAGAGACAGCTTTTCTTGGATCGATTCACACAATTTTCAAACCAGCTTATAATGCTAAATTCTAAAAAATGTTTAAGAAACTCTCATAACAAGATATTGTTGGCTATATTATTGTATAATACTTCAGCATTCTAAGACGTCATTTTCACTACTTTTAAGTCCCTGACAAGTGGATTGCAGATTCTTTATATACCCAAAATAAAAGTTTAACAGCAATAAAAGGTCATAATTTTAAAAGTTGCAAATTCTAAGGTTTATTTTTGTAAATGTATGCTGACAAATTACTAGTTATTAAACTGTACAGTTCTTGTATCTTTCACTAAATTCTGAAAGATGTATCATATTCAACTTGAAAAACGTGTCACTGGATTTATGCATCATTTCTGCACTTGGCAGTGCTCCAAGACAAATATCATCCTTTATGTATGAAGGAGATGATACTGTGGACTATAGTTACTTTTATAAAATAAATGTTGCCTTGAAAAGCTAACATATCAAATATATTAGAACCAAAATTTACACACACACACACACACTTTCAGCATTTAAAATATAAAAATCCCATATTTATGTAAACAACTTTTTAGACACTGGTTGCTTTTGCTTTGAGATTTAAATCCACATTTACAAGGAAGTTGAAAAAAGTTACACTATTTTAAATTGTTGACAAAAACAGAAAAGAAATTAAAACAAGTCTTACAAATACAAATTGTTTGACATTTCACACAAAAACAAGGATGCTGAGTGAGAGGAATCACACACAATCCTTAAATCATTCCAGTGAGTCAGATTATTGCAGAGGTCTCAAACACTGTTTGCGGGTACGTACAGTACCATATGTGCAGCAGTAGCTAAGCATGATGGGGTGAATTAATGCCAAGTGAAAGCCTGAACTCTAAATTCCCTTGCTTTTATTAGTTTAAATGGATCTTTGCCATTGTTTAAAAAAAATCTTTCTTCTCCTACACTTTTAGAATTTTGAAAGGTTGCCCCAAATGCTAAGCATTAATGTAATATGACTATGTTCTTCATTTCAGATCTAACCATTTAAATCTCTACTCATATTAAATTTTCAGAATAAAGTTTCCTTTAAGCTACACAAGAATTGTTGGCCATTTGAACAATGTTTATGATGGACACAAAGTAGTCAAAACATACCTCTGGTTTCTTCATTATCTCCACGAAAAACATGTGATTCTTCATTGGATAAATAATAATTAAAACATCTCCAAAATCTGTTGGTATAATACCCCTGCGGTAGTTCCTGGTGTGCTCAGACCAGACGATGTGAACCTCATCATTTCCCAAGTGACGAAGCTGCAACGGCAAATTGGCTCTTTATTAATCAGAGTGATAACAACAGTTTATGAGGGGTCATGGCTTACAAATTGAATTACAATGCTTGACAGTAGAAATATTTCATTACAGAAAAGGTTAAAATATTGCTTTTTCTATGCTTGTTGGAATTAAAAGCAACTAAATAACTTGCCTCATTCAAAACACATTGTTATTTAATGGTTTGATTAAGTAATTATCAAATTATCAACTTGCATGAGGTGTACATAAACAGTATATATACAGATTTCTGTGCTAATCTGGATTATTAGATCAAAATGTTAATTAGTGGAACATTTTAATTCAGTTACAATATTATAGCTTTCACAGTGATAGCAACTGCTATGATTCAGGTTTCCATTTCACACTTTCCATTGTGGCTCCCTATATCCTATTTTCTCAGATATCTGAAAGATTTACTTTTGGGTCTGACACGTACTGTGCTATATCTGTATCAGAAGGCAAACTGTGTTTTGAAAAAGTGAGCAAAATCTCTGAAGTAGTTTTTGAGTTATGACAGAATGGGAGAAAAATTACCTTTTTAAAAAAACACAAAATATGTCTGAAGTTTAAAGTTGAAACGTAGTATAGAAATAGTCCTTATTAAGTAGTAGTGCCTTTTCTTTGCGAGGAAAAAAATGTTTGTGATTTAACAAAGGTAAAGTCATTTGAAAATTACATATTGAGCATCCACAATAGACTGCTTCTGCTATACACTTTACCTTGACATTATATCTATTATTAAAGGTGATAATTTACCCCTATGCAGAGGGCCAGCACAAGACCTGTGCAATACTTAAATTCCATTTAAACCTTAAAATAGATAAAGCTGGTGATTAAAGTGAAGCATAGGCCTTGTTCTGGCCTTCTGTATAGTGATGAATTTCACGCTACTAGAATTGGATGGTAATTTTTAACAGTAAAGGATTTCTATCGAAGTTGCAAAACAACATTGCGAGGATCAGAATGCTAACAACCGTACCTTTGCTTACGACATTATAGGTTAATACTACCTGGGATTTATACTTAAGCAAAGCAAAATAGGACCTGTTCATACAATAACTCACGTTCACAGCTCATTATTTGATTTTACTTGACACAGAAAAGTTGCTGAATTTATTTCTCTAATTTATACATACAAATGAAAATCCATTTCAATCCTATCTACAAAACAAGTAATCATCAGTCCCTCATTCCGCCATTTGAAATGTGTAAACACTACACAAAGTATTTTTTTTCCTGGACCAATACAGATTAGCGTAAATTAACTTTCTCACTATCGTGTCCATGGCTACAAGCATTTCATTATTTTCTAATGATATCTGATGACTGAGATAAAAATAACGATAATGTGTGAATATTGGGACTATTGTAAAGTAAAAAGGTAAAAGGAAAGTGGAAGGGAATGTGGTGCATTAATATATTAGTTTACTAGCTGAACAACAGTAAGGGCCCAATTAGGCCACCTGTACTCACTGAGTAGCATTTTTGAAAACAGTTCAATGAGATTATTTTTGGAAGTGCAACTCAATGTAAATGAGGATTAATATATATAACCCAACTCATCAAATATAGGCTTGGAGTTAAGACAGAGTTCTAGTAGTAGCTTTGCAACAAATTAAAAACCTGCATTGCTTGAATTTTTAAACCTTCACTAATTTAACAAATTTCAGTAAATAATATATATGAGTTCACAGAACACCCTCTTCATACATTATCCAACCACACAGGAAAATGCACAGGAGAACACAAGCACATTCATTTAATTGTAAGATACAAAGTTATGAAGAAATGCCTCCCATAATGCTCTGCCTCAGAGTACTTTGGAAGGACAAACAGCATCTTCAGGTGTATAGAAAGCAGTGAGCAAAACATAGGACCAAATCCTTTTAAAAATGGAACATATTTTTTAATCATATTAATTCTTCAACCAATGATTTCTTATATTTATCAGCACTTTTCATTCTGAAGAATCCCAAAACACTTTAAAACATTACAGTGATCGGTCCACCTACGTCTGAAACATAGCCACTTCTAGAGTGCTAACATAGTAGCCATTCTGAATCAGCAACACCATATTTCGTAGTAGGACTTAGATGCAAGAGAACATCCAAAACAGGAGGAAATTAGGCCAAAAGAATGTAATTTCGCTAGTTGCCATTTAACCAGGAAACAATGGCTTATGCCCCTACTTCTTGCAAAAACCACAATGGCATACTTAATGATCACACATGATTGGAGCCTTGGCTTTATGTCTTTTCTGAAAGATATCTCCCTTCAGCAGCATAGCGCTCCTTAGTACAACGCTTTTGGCATCAGTTTGATACTCACTTAGAAGACAGACACTTACTGAATCATGAACCTCACTTCCTATAGCTCCTAGGATTCTCTGAGACGTTACCCATCCAAGTACTCGCAAGGCTACATTCTGTTTCATCTATGAGATACAACACAATCACAGCCCAAAGTAACATGCCAGAAACATGCATTTGCTTTACATTAGAATGACAATTGCCTTTAAAGCATAGAAGACCATTTATCATAATATTTCTAAAAAGACATATCTCCTTGATCAGTATTATTATTATTTGTACTACAATAGAGCCTAGGAGCCCTCGCCATAGACCACATTGTGTTAGGCACTGTACAAACACAGAACAAAAAGACAGTCTCCACCCCCAGAGACTTACAATCTAGTGTACAAGATGAAAACCAACAGATTGATATAGACAGACGGGAATATAAGTAAACAATGAGACAATATTGTTCAGCATGACGGGCAGTGGTTTCTCCACACCAACAGCTTAACCATTGTCAAGTTTTTTGTAGATATCATTGTAAAGGAGAATTTTGAGGGGGATCTGAAGGTGGGTAATAAGGTAGCTTTGTGGATGTTTATGCCAAATGCCCTCCAAACACATGGGGCAACAAGGGAGAGAGCACAAAGGTGCCCGTTTGAAAATTTAACAAGTGGGCAGTGGAGGCTGGCATCATGGGCCAAACAGAGGCGAACGTCGACAGTTCAGCAGTGAATGAGAGGTAAGTAGGATGGGGATTTACTATGAAGGGCCTTGAAAGTGAACACAAGCAGTTTATGTTTGATTCAACAGAGAAAGGGGAGCCTACGGGGGGATTCAAAGAGAGAGGTGACATTGTCAAAGTGATGGGCTAGGAAAAAGAACTTAGCAGCAGCATTCTGAATGGATATGAATGGGGAAAGATTGCATTTGTCAAGGCCAGAAAAAAGAATGTTGCATTAATCAAAGCGCAAGATGATGAGAGTTTGGGCGAGAGCTTTAGTGGATGTACAAAGGCTGTAGCTTAGAGATTTAGATATAGCCTGGCTATGAGGACCCAGAGAGAGATCGGAGTCGAAGGTGACACTCAGGTTATGGCCTGCCTGACAGGCACGATGGTGGTGTTGTCCACAGCGATAGAGAAAGGAGATAGTAGGGAAGATGTCAGAGGGGGAAGATTAGGAGCTCTGTTTTAGCCATGTTTAGCTAGACATTCACAAGATGTCAGGGAGGCAGACGGAGGCTTTAGTTTGGACAGAAGACAACATGGAGTAGAGATGTAAATCTGTGAGTTGCTGGCATGGTTGTTAAATTTGTGTTCGCGGCGGAGATTACCCAGAGATGAAATGTATAGGCGGAAGAGAAATGGACCTAAGACAGAGGCCTGTGGAAGAAAATTAGAGGGCAGATGAGGAAGGACATGCTGAAGGAGAGATTAGAGAGTTAGGAGGGGAACCAGGAGAGGACAGTCTTGTAAACCAAAGGAGGAAAAGATTTCACTGAAAATTCAGTGAATTCTGACAATATTGATTATATCATTATAATACCGTACCTATCGATTTTTTTGAAAGATCAGCTTTTGTGTTTTGCTAAAACATCGTTATATTGCCAATGACAAGGAATAGTAAAACCATAATACACTAACTGTAGACTTCTTACTTGGATCACTGAAAGAAAATAATATTTTGGATTTTGTGTGTGATATATCAAAAGCTTCTGAGCACAAAACTAAACAAAAAAGGAACAGTTTTGGCTATGGCCAAATAAGCAAATAAATGAATAATTCAGAGCAAAAGCGACGAGCCCTCTCTCCTCCAAATATACCTAGTTTGAAAAAAACAACCAACTGACCATGAAAAGGATGAAACAACTGGAAAATAAGACAAATAAGTAGATTGTCGTTTTAAATTGAGCCCTGCTCTGAAAGATACTGGAGATGTACATAAACAAATATTCAAGGAAGGAAACTCTTGCAATTGTTTGCATTTTCCGTCTCAAAACTTCATAGATTAGTATTAATTTATAAACTGCACATAAAGACAACTTTAATCATGTGAATGAGATTTACACACATTTTTAACCACACATTTGTTCAAGTACAGTAGTTTCCTTAATGTCTCAATTAGATCAAACCATGAATATACATATAACTTTGGTCAATTTATAGCCTCTAATTTGAATTATGCCATCATTAATCATGTCTCGGCTGCACTCCCTCAGCTAGAATATGTGCTTCAGAATGTACTTGTCAGTTACAGTACAAATGCTCATTTTTCAAGCCTTACAAAAACAACTCCATGTTCTGAGGCTAGTCGTGCGCCGCCTCCACTCACTCACTTGAGTAAATAGTTTTAAAGGCACTCTGCTTTAGCTAGTCTACATGCTGCCTGCCAGGCAACACGCCACTGCTGACACTGGTCATGGTACACACCTAATAGTCTGACCTTCTTTTCCTACTAATTGCATTACTTAGCCAGCTGGCTCCAGAAAGGAGTCGTCTGTTTGATTGAAGAATTCCTGCTTTTGGGTAGGCATGGCTGCTACTTTTACTAAGTAACAGTCAGGCCTGACATCCCCATTGTTTGTCTGACAGTGAGCCCATCCTAAAATCTAAGTTTTATTTGTAAATTAACCAAGAAACTTCCTGCCAGAACAGCGCTGCCTGGAGACTGATAATGTGTGCCTTTCATTCCCTTTCACTCTTACTGTATCACTGCCAATTTGTTTTTCTGCTGCTGGCCAGCCTTAGGCTATAAAAGCCTTGTAAGACATAAGTGCAATTATAGTCCTGGAGTCAAATGAATTGGACAAATCCAATAGCACAGCTCTGTCCCCACTTTGCAAACCCCTACAGCTGTTAGATTAGCTGCTAAAAATCTAATCTAGCTAGAGCTAACAAATTTCTGAAGCGAAGGAGCAAGAGTTCAGTATAGGGTTGCAACCAGATTTCTGAATTGAAAATGTTCTACTATGACAATGGGAAGAGATGGAATAAATCACTTGGAAATTTTGCAGCTCATTTTTAAACTGTTAGGTACAATTTAGTTAGACTAAGACAAGGAACTGTAGGATGTTGTTACTGAGATTGATTTTTATTCTAGCTGTGAGATATCTGATAAAAGTTTTAACACTAATGATGCTAAATCTTACAGCTGGAAAAGGTACCAGCTGAATTTTGATTATGTCAGTAGGAAAGCTTTTGTTCAGGGGCAAGTCTTTTAATATTATTTGGAGTTGTAGTATTTATTTTAAAAAGAGCAACAACATTTTTAACACGAAAACTTGATTTTTAAAATGTAGGCCATACAAAAATATGTAAAGGAAAAAATATTTGTATTATTGTAGTCTATAGAATTACTGGGCCAAATTCATCCCTGATGGACGTGCACTAATTTTAGTGAATTTTACACCAGAAGTGGATGCATCCCCTTGTGCCTAATAAAAAAATAAAACACCATAACGAAATATTTAGGTGGTTACTGCATCAGACGGTAATTCCACAACCATAGAATATACAGCCCACTGTACCACTGCAGTATTTACAGGATGCTTCCTTGGCCAGCAGAGGTAAAACTTTCTGTTATACTCTTGGGTTTGCAACCTAAGCAAGATGATCAGCACTCTGATTCTTCTGCCTGGAGACAGGCAGACAGAATAGAGCAAAGAATACAGATATGAAAATAGAGCTACTGGCCTACGAGCAACCAGGTTTCATGCAGGATAAAGTGTCATTGAGAATCTGCCTGGTGGAAGCAGAGGGAAAGAGACTGCTACCCTTCTCTCATCCTTGAGTGGCAGCACACTATGATACTCACCTCTCTGTAATACAAGTTTTTTTTTTTTTTTTTTTTTACATAGCATTGGATATTTCTGTAGCAGCAACAAATGAATGAAAATGACTCAAAAACATGAAGTTTTAATGCCACAATATATAAATCTCTCTTCTCTTTCTCAACTCCTGTTGGGAAGTTATGACAGGGAAAGGAAGGAGTAGAAAAAGGAGTATAAAACTCCTTGTGGTCTTGACATTCTTCTCCACTGATTTAAGATGGAAACATGGATTCCTCCTACGTGAACATTTGGATGGGTAACATCAGTCCTGTTGTGAATATGGCAGATACATGTCATGATCTTATTTGAGAGTATCACCCAGATCTCGCATCTCTCTCTTTCTCACTCCTGGATGACTGACACGACAAACCCAATCTTTTCATGATTTGTTCTGGTCAGGTATTGACTCATGTGCCGAAAAAAAGGTGTGCGTGAGTGCAACTATGACATTTTTCTTCTGATTGAACTGCACGAGAGAGTCACATGGACATGTTTATTCAAGCACATAGCCCTATCTGGTTCTGTTGGCATACAGACCTCTAAATGTGGGATTTCATAGCTTAGTTCTCTGAGCTGGTCTGCGTACTGCTGTTGGAGCTCCAGTGGATTATTGTTCTGGGGGATTTCAACGTTTATACTGATATTAGCTCATATGGATCAGCAAGTCAGATTTGAAGAAATGGACACCTTGGATTTTACCGTGAGGATGAGGAAAGCTCCCACAGGGCTTGCTGTATATTCATCTTGGTCTTTGGAGCTGGTTTGGATATCACAGATACTCAGGCTCAAACCATCAGCTCATTGGTTTCACTGTGAACCTTATTTCATATCTATTATCATTGCTAGAACCAAATCTCACAGACCCCAGTGAAGATATGATCTGAACGCAATGAGATTGCATAGGTGTGAATTAAGACCTGCAGGATCTTTATTACAAATATTATGGGAAAAGGAAAAGACACAGCTTGACTAACAAAAAATAGGATGAGTTTGCAGGGCTGGTAGTCAGAAATTCCATCTTTTTAATGTTAACTAAGCAAATGTGATATGGAAATCAACATGTCAATGAATATGGCACCTCACAATGACATTTAACAGTTATTTCTCAGGGCACAACCATATTTTAAAGCAAATGAGTTAGCTATGGTGCCATTACTGATAGATCTTAACAATTCACTTTACGAGGGTAGAGTGCCGACCATCCTTAAACCACGCAGAAGTTTGCCACCTGTCCAAAATATCTCTGAATTCTGGAGTGCCCGCCAGTTACTGCTCAATCTTAAATGAAAAAGTAGCTGGATATCAACAAAATTCTGAGTCGGTTCCTGTCTGGGTTCTGGCCATCCTTTGAAGCGGAGATTGCTTGTCTGGATTGTGAATGATCCAATTATGGTTTTAAATTGAAGTTGGTTGGTGATTTTTGCTACTATAACTCAGCACTTTTCTTTCATTCCTTTTCTTTTCCTTTATTAGACTCGATTGCTCATTTATTCATCCATGTTTGTATTTTAAGAGAATGATATTTTATCACATTATATTGCATGTGTTTTTATTCTATTGTACTGAACTCTGAAGGTTTTGGCAGTGAGGCAAATGAAATAAAATGATTGCTATTATTATTACTAATAATGGTATTTGATGCTGCCATGGAAATGCAGAATCCAATGTTCACAAGGCACTTAATTCAGGGGTTCTAGCTGCAGAATTTAACTCCCATGTGCTGCAGAATAAAGAAGGTATGCATACATAGCACAATTTATGTTCCATTCAAATTTTGATTTGAGCATATGAAGATTAACTCCTGTATTTCAAAATAATGTACTACTAATATCTTAAAAATATGTCTATCATAGTAAATGATATAAGTGAGTTACCTTTTTGGTCAGTGAATCATCTGAATCTGACGGCATTCTTGTGGACACATGAAAAATGACTTCCACAGTAGAGGTAGCATAATACGGTGCTGTTTGTCCTGTGCTGCCATTACGTTGCAGACCACCCATAAATCCACAATGTGTTGAAAGATCAACCTTATTGATATAAAAGGGAAAACAATAAGGAAAAAACCTTCTCCTTACTGAGCCACATTTAAAGGATATTATAGCATAGACGATCAACGGTGTGTGTGTGTGTTTGTGTGTATATATATATATATTTAAAGTGTTAAGACTTTAATTTTCTGCGCGTGGGGGATCTTTGTACAACATTTTAGGATACACCAGCTTTCTGTTTCTGTATCTGTAAGCTGCTAAAAAGAAACATCTCTAAAACTAATAACCAGACAGTCATAATGGAGACAAGGTGATTTGCTTACCTGTTAATATAGTTTCTTTTAGTCTTTAGTGGGTCATTACAGACAATTGGTATTATATCTTTCTACTAGCAAATGACAAGAGGGATCAAAATAATTCTGTAACACTAGGCTCCTTCATTCTGGCTAATTCTGTTTGAGCAAAGCAGTTCAAGAAACCTCAGAGTAGTTAACCACACCCATGCACCCTTAATGAAAAATCAATGTTAAATATGGAGAAAACACAAACAGGGAAACCATAGGTGAAAAGAAGAGCCTCTCTCACTAAGTGT